ATGCCAGGACAGCGTTGCACACTGTCTAGAGGGCACCGGGGCATTGCCTGTCCCCTCCCTTCACCTGTGCTTCTCCTGTCGAGCTTAGAGGATAAAGAGGATCTGGGAAGCACTAGAACCTGGATCACTGGTTCCGACAAATCCATATTTGAGACTTAGTGCTGCCGCTTTCTGTGTAACTGAACTTTCAGACTAGTTAAAATTGTATTTTTCTCATTTGCTAAACATTTATTCATTTCTATATTATAAATTGATTGTATGCTAGCATTTAAACATACAGGAGTAGAGCCTAGCTAACGGGCCTTCGGGTCATAGTATTCAATAAATGGTCTTCATCTTTCTTTAGTGTGAGAAAAGGAATGGGGGATAAGCACATTGATCATATATGTCACATGTTATTGACTGATCAATCCCAATGAGTCATTGCTTATCAAAGCTAGTAGCCTTAGCTGAGTAGGGAGCTCCAGAATGCCTGCAACAGTGGGGTTCGCTTCCACCAGAGAAAGTGCATCAGCAGTGGTGGTTTTGAATGTTAAGAGCCTAGTGAAACCTCAGTGAATTTCAGTGTTTGCATGGGAAAATTTCAAACATAACTAAAATGCTGGATGATGAAAATTCTTCAACTATATTAGTTATTATCTCTCACTAAAATTTGTAGAAGAATCAGAAACCTGAAATGTTGTGTTTGATTTTTAGATTAAGCATCATATTCTTGCTACTTTTGATTTTGTAAGTTGATGCGTATATCCTAAAATTTCCATGGTATGACAAGAGTAAACTTGGGGAAAGGTATAGTGATTCTTCTTAACCAAAATATGTGTCAAACATGCTCACGATATCTGGGTTTCATTTAATAACATCACATTGCATCAACTTAACCTCAGTGGAGCCTGGGAGTAGAGTTGTACCTCTGGGATACAAAATTAACTGTAGAAAACAACTACATTGCATATATGTCTACCATCTCACAAATAGAATTTGCCTTAACTTTTACTGGTTAAATCCTTAAGTGTCAATGTAGTTTAACCTTATTGAATCAACATATTGTAAATAATTATTTAGAACATCACTGAGAGACCAAATGACTAACAACAACTGCAATAAACAAACAAATGGTCAAACAAGTAAGACATACTGCAACAAGAACAATCTATGAGGGGAAAAAAGGTAATCTAATAATTAGGAAGAACTTTCAAGGAGAAACCGAAATGTAATGTTAAGTAGGAGATGGGTAGATGGATCTGATATGGAAAGGGAGAATAATGCGACCAACTCCATCTTACTTATTTCTTTTAGGAAAACCCTCTGTTGAGGAATGGAATGAGAACAGAGACCTGAAAGAACCACATAGATCAAAATGGAAAATGGCAGCAGACGGTGGCTACAAACCTCCACAGTGGAAGTAAAGGGATAACAAATAACATTAATTTGTATTTATTTTTTTTTAAATAGGTTTTCATGTTCTTTTTATCAAGAAAAAAATATTTATATATTATTTGTGATATGAATTTTATAAGGCAACTAGTATAAACTTTTATAACAGTTATATAATAGTTTATAATTAGAAAAGGGTAGACTTGGAGCGTTCAGAATTTGATAGTGGACACATAAACAGCAAGAAGCATATCTAGGTGAATGTTTATTGCTGGAACACTTTGCTCTTTCTCTATTGAGGCAATGATAGGGAGATTTGAAATTTCCAAAGTGAAATAATATCATTCAGATAGGGAAAGAGTGGCAGAGAACTGAACATTTTACTGAGGATTTAATATTTGAATGAATAGAAACATCTTTCTTTCCAGTTTTTTTCTCTAGGAATAATGGCTAAAGATTTTATCTAATTTATTTGTTTTAGTGTTCCGAAGACTTTTCCTTCTTATGCTCATCAATTTTATAGATATAATATTGCTCAAAATATATCAGTTAAATATGTAGATGAGTTGACTTGGTTCTAAGATATAGAACCTCACCACCTACTGCTTCCTAGGACTTAAAGTTCCATAATTAGACATGCATACGACTTTCTGCTGGAACACAAACACTCATCAACTCCCATTTACAGTAATTGTACCTTTTTGTGAATGACTTTGTCATTTGTTTCCAGGAAACTGCTTTCTATCTCTGCAAGGAGCATCCTGATAATGAAGTGGGGACACAATGTTGGTGAGAGATTGTCAGGACGAAAAAGAAGAGGCTGGATGACCAAGACTTTGCTTTTCTGCCTAGACAGTATTCTGTGATATCATTTTACAAAAGGACATTGTCAGAGAACACACTTCTAGTTAATGGCATTACATTTGTAAGTTCAATAAGATTGATATTTTTCAAGCAGTCAGTTACACAAAAGTGTACATGCTGTATGGACCCAAGGGTCAGTAATTACACCTGCTGCTTGTACTGTGTTATGCTTCCTTCACATGAGTGGTATCCCTTTGTTTATGCCACATGAGTAGTGTCACTTCCCCTGATATCCTAAGTAGAGCTATTTGTACCATGAAGCATAAAGGTAATTCTTGTTCCAATTCATTTTGCAGACTTGACAGTGACATCAAAGATCAAGAAGTCTGTAAGCAATGCCAGTGCTCATTTGTTTAAATGTCAAACCCAAACCTTTCCAACTTTCAGGAAATATGTCAGTAGTGTAGGAGCTTCAATTCCCCCAGAGGAGATTTCAATGTTATTCAGATGTAATTCATTCCCTGGGGAAATAGCTGCCAGTGTCTACGGAGTAGAATTCCTTGGGTAAATCTTTCTTTTAAGCTGAATGGAAGTGTTTCAAGACTCAAGACTGTGGACAATTCTGTCTTCATTGACACTATGAAGTAGTAGCCTCAGTGATGTTTCTATTCCCCTAACCAGAATATATATATATATATATATATATATATATATATATATATATATAATGTTATCAGGGCGCAAAGACTCTGCAACACAGGGTCTATGCACAGCAAACAGGAATACCATCAAAAAAGAACACATTTCTCACAAAGATTAAGCCTGAAATAAAACTAGGAAGGAAAAGGATAAGGTTTATAACCATTTCCTATAAAAACAAGAAAAAAAAAACAAAAAAACCACTTTTCTTGAATTTAAAAGAAGTAATATCTCTTCCTAGACAGCTGAGTTGTTGTTGTTGTTGTTGTTGTTGTTGTTGTTGTTGCTTTTGGTGAGGTGAATCACAGTGGTACTTTGCTGGCAGTGTACATAGATGCAGAGGAGAAAAGAAAGCTTTTTGCAGACAACCCAGAACAGAGAATCCATTGTCTACCTGCTTTCTAGCTTTAGAGTAGAATTACAGTTGAGAATTCTGGATCTGAGGTTAGAAAAAAAAATGAGGCTGGATATGAATCATGCCCTCTAATAAGCTTTTCTTGTTTTTTTTTTCTTTCAGTGTAGTTTATTTTAAGATTTAAGCAAGAGAGCATATGTCAAGTGGTCTTGCAAAAGTAGATACTCAGTGCATGTTCAATTTCTACCGCTCACTTAGCAGTAAGTATGTGCCACATGCAGGAAGTGCTGCTGTGCTCAGTGCTCTGGGTATAGCTCGTGACTCTATAGATGGCAAAGCAGAAACCAGAAGATAAACCATTAAAGGACTTACTCTTCTAACAAAAGGCTGAATCATATCCATTCATATGTCCCTTTACTTTCATTGTATCCTAAGAAGATTGTCTTTATTTTTATTCTTAAAAAAATCAAAAAGTAAAATATCCTAAAATAATATAGAACAAGCTAAAGTTCTTGGAGGTTTCTAGTCTCATGACTTATATTCTCCCTGATGAGTTCCTCTCAGTCAGGAACTGTCTGCTTATCTACACTGTGTATTAGAAGAGAAGGGAAAAGCTAGGTTGCTATTGATAGCCTGGAGAGATCCTTACTGTCCTTCACTGCAGTTACAACCTTTATTTTTTACTTCCCAGCTTCCCAGCCTATTTCGTTTCACTCACCTCTCAGCCTTTTTATTGGGGAGTTAGCACTGTCTCCAAGCTGCCTGCCTCCTCCTGTCATTTTCAACAGACTTCCTCCACACTGCCCTCTGCATTCTAAAAGCCTCCTATTCTCCATTCATCAAGGTACATGCTCTTTCCATTCACAATTTAAGTCGGAGCTCTCTGGGGAAGCTCCTTGTCTTGAAAGCGATTCCCGTCCTGTCCTAATAAATCCATCACTGCAGTCCCCATAGTTTGCTTATCCCTCACTTCATCCCTCAGACATGGTGGTGGGGAGAATAGTAATGAGCACACAAGAGAACCTTCTCACGGACCAAGACAGACTTTGACATTAAGCTTAATATCATTGTAAGAAAAAGAATCAGTTGGTACAAATATTTTCTGAAACTGGTAACAACCACTCCTCCAGGGGTATGCATTGGTTGAATGAATGAATGTATGCATGCATGCATGAATGAATGTTTGAATGGACGGTGAGAGTGAGCTCCGGGGTACTTTTTAGGATGCTCCTCCTTCCTTCTGCTGCTCCAGGCACCGCTTCTGTTTAATTCTGCTTTTGTGATTGAGCGCGCTCCTCTGTCTGCCTGTGCCTCCACTCTGCCCCTTCATTACCACTTCTTGACCCGAGCCTAAGGCTCCTTGCTAAAGGACATGCCACCGAGCTCCCGAAGGCCTTATGACTTCATCAGTTTCTGCGGGTGCAAGCCCTCCCCAGTAAACCCACCCAACCTGCACAAAAGCATTACAGATTCCCCTACACTCAGCAAATCCACCTGGAGGTCCTTGTCCCTCTCCTTGCGCTTGTATTCTAGGTTCTCAAACAGAAACAGTTTCCCTCTTTTCCCTGCAGACAAACAGAATAATCATTCTAGAGATTCCCTCCTAGTTTGTAAAATCAGAAAACTTAAAAAAAAAATTAAAAACCTCACCCACGAGAAGCGACCTCTTTGTTTGCACCCCAGGAGAAGGGAGGGGTCTCCCAGCCTTGCAGCCTGGACAGAGTGGAGGTGACAACCTTTCTGGAGGGCTGCCTGAGACCAGACTCACCCAGCACGTTCCCGATGAGAGCCACCACGAACACGATGATATACCCTGCGATCAGGACCCACTCATATTCTTTCGGGTGTAGGTATTCCCTCCACAGGTACCGTAGGAATTCCTCGTCGTCATAGTCCGTGGGGTTTAAAAACGGCTCTTGAGTTTCATTCAGCTCCGAGGCAGATGACCAGTTGCGACGAGGGAGGGAATCCTCCAATTTGATGCTGGACATCACGGACTGGTCAGGTTCGGCTCAGTGCTGCAAGCTTGTCTCCGCCTGCCCCATGAGCACCGGGGATCCGCGGTGGGAAAGGCTGCGCCGCCGCTGCCGCGACTAGGGGCTCTGGAGCCGGGAATGACGTGAAAAGTTCCTGAGCCAATGCCTCCAGAGCCCTGCGCCCCGGCAACTTCGGGCTGCCGCTTCAGTGTCTTTGCAGGGGATTTGCACCAGGAGAAGCTGCTGAAGAGCTAGGGAAATGGCAGGGGAGGTTGCAGCAATGATTCTGGAGCAGAGATTCTCCTTGACCTCAGCTCAATCATTCGTCATTCCAGCACTTAGCTTGCAGCCCACAGCCTTCCCCAGAGCTGAGGGACAGAGAGATGAAGCTGGAAAATAAAAGTGGAGCAGGAAAGGAGGGAGTAAAGGCAATTACCTAAACCTGTTTCTTTGTGGATCACATGTCCTTTTTCCATCACTTGCCTTCTGTTTTACATGCAATTTCTATGCTATACTGGCATGCATAAGCCTGTGGAAGTGGCAGGAAGGTCAATGCATGGTTAACAGAAGATCCACTTCTTCATTTGTCTTTATGCATATGTAAAAGTAATCATCAGCCACTCTAGCCTCAGACAGGCCTATGCAAAAGTCATTCCATCCAAATATTTTAATATTTAATATAGCATCGCAGTATTTATCATGTGCCAAGTTGGCAATGGTTGAATTGTTAAGGCATTGCCTGCCACGCCACTCCTTATCAAAAACGAGGAGAGGATCATTTTTAATCGAAGACTGTATTTAATAGGGATTTGCACTTTTATGGGCAAATGTAACAAAACTCAGCTGAACCTACTTTTCTAAGTGCATATAGTATTAAACTAACTCCTAATGACTTGTTACAGTAATAGATTAATTAATGCATCTCTCAACCTGCACCAGAGGACAGTCTGTTTGCAGTAGATGGTGATTAACATGGAGACCCAGAACTGGCCAAGATGCAGAGAATACGAGGCTGCATGATGTTTAGCCCTAAAAGGAACACATTGTACTACAGGCCCTCCTCCTACAGCTCAGGAATCATTTTGGGAAGAGGGGTCTGAAAAAGCCTAAGAGTGAAGCAATCAATGATTGCAAAGAATCAGTGTCTTATGGACACAGTAGGGAAGCTGCACATATGAACTCACAGTGGTTGAGGCAGCATGTTCAGGACCTGTGCAAGTCTATGCCAGAACAAACCTCAGCATGCAGAGGGCAGCTGGATACAAAGTACTCATCCTAGTTCCTGATGTATTGGCAATTGTTAGCTCCTGGGAGAGTCGTGTTTTGTTTTGTTTTGTTTTGTTTTGTTTTGTTTTGTTTTTTCTAAGCTTATATCCTCTGGTTAAATCTCCTACCCTCCAGTGATGGTCCCTGCATCTAAGAATATCTGAGCTCAAATTAGCCTTGATGGAATAAAAATGTTACAGGAACACAAAGTTGAGTAGGTAGGGAAGGTAAGGTTGATCTTAGAAAGGTTGGGAAAGGGAGTAGATGGATCAACATAAGTACAAAATTCTCAAGGAACTAATAAAGCAATGATGTGTTCATGTATAAATTTAATTTTGTTGGAGTCTTAAGATCATTTAAATGCTAATGTTATCATTCAAAAGATCCTCCATTCCTCCAGAACTATTGTACCCTGTGAAAGAGGGGTGAGGGAGCAGGCCTTCTATGGACTTCCCTCAAATCCACTGATACAAATCTGGAACACGTTGAAAGCTGGTGTCTTTCTGTGACTTATAAATATTTAATCTTTTTCTCCCTATACTATTCATTTCAACTGTGAAGGCTTGTTGCACCTTTGATTGGATTTATACTTGTTAGTGTCTGGAGATTCCTTGCTATTGGTGATCTATAAAAATGGGCTCCATCTGCTATTTTTGAGTCATTGTCACTAGCTGCCATTGTACGGCATCTAACCTGTCTACACTTTGTCTTCCTTTTCCAAGTCTCCTCCTGTGATTAATCATGCCCGTGTGTTACAGTTGTCGGGGGAAGAAATGAGAATATCTTTACAACGTTACTCCAATGTCAGCCTTTGGTTGTAACAAGCCTAGATTTATCTCCAGCCTACGAACATTCCATTTCCGCTTCTCTGTGTTTTATCAAACACTTTCCTTAAAGTCTGTGGTACTCTAGTGCTGTAAAAATTCCACTGAAACATCCCACTTATAAGATGCTTTCCATTTCTATGAACACAGAAGGGATAATGAATCTTTCTTACCGACTGGACGCTATTTTGTTTTATACCTGTTAACATCTTTTATAATTTTTTCAGGTAAACATTCACTTTGAAATCTTTTTGCTACATATAAGGAAAGGTATCAAGACAGTTTCAGGTCACAATGTTATTTCTGATCTTAAAATTGCCACATTAAATCCTCTAAATTAGTTAATATTTTTAAAGCAATACCTTCTCTTTGAAAGTAATCCAAATCTATGTGTAAAATAAAATTTTAAAGTGTATTATCTTATTGCTTTTGATCTAAAACTGTGTAAACTATGATTTCCAGCACAAATGTTATTTGCTATACATATGTTTGCATTAATGCTTTCCATAAAAGTAAAATATATCTTTTAATATTCTGAATAGTTTTATTAGACACCTTTGACCCTCCTAGTAATTTGAATACATTAAAAATTAGTGACAGTGAGTAAAATAAGTCACAGAACCAGCTTTTTATTATTTCTTAATGGTTTTACATAGCTTTCTTAATGACATCAAAAAATGTTTTCTGTGCCACTTGCTATTTTTTATTTCTAGTATGAAATCATTTTATCATCCTTTTCTAGGCCTACCACAATTTTGTGGATCCATTTCAGTAAATGATTCTGAGTATTTGTCCTCTTTCCAATAGTTTATCTAGAAATTAAGGCCATGAATAGAAGTAAGGTTACCCTCAATAATCAGTCTATCCTCTAGTGAATGAACAATGTGTAGATTTTCAAATCTCTGCATTATTGGGGTACGAAAAAGGCACATCATACCATGGGGTCATGAAGGAACACATTTGTCAGCAAGCAGAAACCCAGGGTGGATTGCTTTGTTCCTGGAACATCCCTTCACCTGGCTCCTTAAACACAAAAAGGAGATCACCTAGTCACTAAAGTGGGTGGTTTTCAAGCAGAGGAAATTGGAAAACCAGAAGCCAAAAGGTGAAAGGAAGCAAGACAGACTTTGAAATCTTTGCTGGGAAGAGTATAGAGATTGTCTTGGGAAGACAAAAAGGAGGGACCAGCAAAGCTCTGCTGAGGGGAAGAGGGATCTGACTAGAGTTGGGTGATACTTGAAAGTATGAGTATGAATGTAGAATTCTACTATGAGATAGTAAGATGGCCGAAGTTTATTTCTTGAGTTTAACTGTACATTAAGACTGCTTTTAAACAGGTCTGGGCCTGAGCACAGAGCAAATCCCAGGCAGCAGCTCTGTATCCAACCTCACAAAACCCAGAAGATGAGAGCTTCCCAGGAGCTCTAACCCGGACAGTATCTCAGGTAAAATTGAATCGCCCATGACGTCTGCTGTTAGAAGGTCTAATCCAGATGCTGGCCTCCGAACTTATACTACTCAGACCTTTGACGGGCCATTGACAAGAACATCAAACAGCTAGAGATTGACATCACTAATCTGAAGAAATCCCTCGTTTTGCTGTCTGAAGAGACCTCCAAAAATTGTAAAAGATTTTATTGGACTTGATTTATTCTTTTACAATAGAAAAGACTGTGTACAGCTCTTGATTGTGTACAACCCTTTAAGAAGAATATTGCTTTTACATAGACAAGACAGGGATGGTTAAAGAGAGTATGAAAAAGGTCAGAGAAGGCCCTGAGAAAAGACAGAGAGAAAGATGAGAGCTGGTACAAGAATTGGTTTTCGACCTCTCCATGGTTGTCAACCCTACTTCCTCCCATCTTGGGACAATTAACTGGGTTATTTTTGCTTACTTCTTTTGGTCCCTGGGCCTTAAATAGGCTGACTAACTTTGTGAAACAACAGATAAATAATTTGGTATCAAAATCTATTCAGATACATTATCATAAGTTAGCTATGGAGGATCACGAGACTCAAGATGAGATTGTTATTCTATCCAGGGTGTTCCCAAAACCCATCTCCACCCAACCTAAAAGAGGGGACTTCTACCCCCTAGACCAAGCAGAGAGGGGCCACCCAGAACCCCCTCTGACTGGCAATCTGAATTCTTGCTTAGGCTTCGAGGCTAAGCACTGCAAGGGAATATAAATAAAAGTTAAAAATATCTCTCTGCGTTCCCTGAGGGACAAGCCTGACTGCAAAGGGGTTGATGTCAACAGTATCCCCTTTCCAGGAAAAAGACATCAGGATGGGTATGGCCCTCATGCCTCACTGGACAACGACAGGGGGACCGGAGCCATTACAAGGTCCCCTTCAATTACTGGAGGTCAGGCTTCTATCCCCACCTTCACAAGATTAGAATCGTCACATCCCTTCTATACTTAGAGAAGGGAGGAGATGTCAGGGGCAGCCCTGCTTATACACTGTAGGCCTAAAATCAGCCATAGGCCTAAAATCAGCAATAGGCCTGTCATACATGCATACTAACACCAAGTCTTGGGTCTCTGTGGAAAAACATTGAAACAGATGGCTATAAACTATTGTAAACAGGCAGCTTTTGTGGAAATTTACCAGCCTGAGTAGTCATAGACCTTGTAAATAGGTAGCCTGGGCAGATAATACCAACTTAGATAAGGACAAGTGAATCACAGGCAGAGTCATAATGACCTGTCCCCTGAACCTTCACCCAGCCAATACCCTGTTCTGAAAGATATCTGTACACCCCCTGAACACCCACGCTCTGGTGTCATCCCCTTCCCCAAGTCCTAACTTTTTGTGTTTATAACCCCTCTGTGAATAAGTAAAAATTATGATTTGATTTAAAACAAAACATAACAAAACAAAACAAAACAAAACAAAAACAACATATAAAAGACTGCTTTTCAGACATCTAGTGACTACATATTTATGCCATACAGGATGGTATGTCAGTAAATATATACAAAATGTAATGATCAAATCTTGATGATTAGCATATTCATTGCCTAAAACCTATAATTTCTTTGTGG